CCACTGGCTCTCACTCTGCCTTTGTCGGGGAGACTGACCAGCCCCCTGCTCACTGCCCGTGGCTGACTGAGTCACCTCGGCCCAGCTGTCCCATAAGCCTGGAGCTGAAGCTCCTCCACACTCTTGGCAAGGCAGGTTTCCAGCCTCCAGTCATCCTGGCATCTCTCCCCGCCCCCCTTCCTCTTTCCAGTGAGGCCCCCGCAACTGGACACGACACCCATTATCCGCCCCACCAACGCTGCCCCCAGGGGAATCCACTGCTCAGCTCCGCACTCACTCCTCCCGCTGCAGGGTTCACACTGGGCCTGTTAAGCCACAGCACAGCCCGGAGGACTCACCTCGCTCTGGTTCCACTACGAGCTTCCAGGCTGTTCAGAGCCAGCGCTAGATTACAGGCTCCTGAAGGTCTCAGATCTACCCCTGTACACGCCCCTTTATCCCCAGCTCCCTGCCCCTGTACATACCGCTCTAACCAACCATCCCTACATACCCCGTACACGCCCCTTTATCCCCATCTCCCTGCCCCTGTACCTACCCCTCTAACCAACCATCCCTACCTACCCCTGTACACGCCCCTCTAGCCACTTATCCCCATACACCCCTACCTGCCCCTGTACACACCCCCATCCACCTATCCTCATATACCCCCACCGATCCCAGTACACGCTCCTCGAGCCACCTATCCCAATACACCCCGTACCTATCTCTGTACACGCCCCTCTATTCATCCATCCACAGACAGCCCCTACCTATCACTGTATATGCCCCTGTATCCAACCGTGCCCATATACCCCTATACACATGTCTCTATTCATTCATCCCTATACACCCCCTACCTATCCCTATACCTATTCATCTATCCCCAGACTTCCCACCTACCTATCTCTATCCCTGTACACTCCCCTCTATGTACCTATCCCGATACACCCCACCTCTCTATCCAGCCATCCCCACACATGTCACCCCTCTACCTATGCTCTGTCGCCCCATTCACATAGTATCTGAGCACCGCACAACCATTAATAGATCGATCCTCCCACTACACCTGTGAGAGGCAAGTGCTGTTATTTCTTAGGTTCTGTTGTGGGTTTGTACAGCGCCTGGCATGATGGGGCCCTGGGCTGTGATTGGGGCACCTGGGTGCTACCACAACACAAACCAGAGAGCCTAAGGGATTGGCCCCCGTCACACAGGGAGTCTGGCGGGAGCTGACCCCGGATCTCGAGCCTCTAACCACTGGGCCACGTTTCCTCCCTGGTGCCCTTCTCCCCATGTGCTATGAGCAACTCACCACTGGCCCTTCTCTGTGTTCCAGGCCAATGCTCTGAGAGTCAAGGGAGAGCTGCAATCAGAGAGTGTGTGCATGGGTACATATATGTGCTCCCGTGTATGTGGGCATGTTTGCATGCGTGTTCCTGTGTGTGTGCATGGCCATGCATGGGGGTGGGTGCATCTGTGTTCACCTGTTGGTGTGTGCATGCGTGTTCCCACGTTCATGCATGTTTACATACGTGTGCAGGGTCTCCTGTGTTCTGCGCATGCACGTCTGAGTATGTGTGTGCGGTTGTGTGCATTGCCCTCTTGTGGCACAGGCCACAGACAGATAAAGGATCGACAGCTAGTGCAAAGCAGCAGAGTTGCTCTTTGGCGCGGGTGCTGGGGCGGGGGTTGGGCCATGCTGCTACTCAAAGATGGGGGCTCTAGCCCCAGCTGTGTGATCTGACCCCGTTCCTGTCCCACTCTGGCTGATCACACACTCCCCTCTGAGACTCACAGGTTCAGTCGGGCTGGCCCCACGGCCCAGGCTGTGGGTGGTGAGGTGGGATGAATGGAGGCTCCTGGCGGGAGGAGGAGAAACACATTGTTAAAGATGGGGTGAAGGTGGGTTAGCTGGTTTCTATCCCTCCTGGGCGCACAGGGGATGGGAGTGGGCTGTCCACAGTCTGAGGCAGTCGGGCCGAAATGGAGAAGGAGGCAATCAGCTTAAAACAAACAAAAAAAAGCACATCAGGAAGGTTTTTAAGGCCCCAGAACCACGGGATCCTTGCTGGACCTGTGAGGAAAAAAGCATGTTTAGCCCCCCAGCAAAAATAAATATAGATCTGCCCCCGCCCTCCCCACCCCAGTGCATTTGGAAATACAACATAAGCCGAGAGAAAGAGAGAAAAACATGGATTGGAAAGAATCAAGCCTGGCTTTTTTGTTGTTGTTGTTGTTGCTGTTGTCTCTTGAGCAATTATCAATTTGTTAATTTACTGGCTTCCTACTGCTGCCTCTGACAGCCCCAAACCTCATTAGAAAAATCTCGTTTTCTCCCTGCCGTTCCTGGTACTTACGTTAAACTAGAAACCTCCACAAAGGGCCAAGATGGTCAAATTAAAAAAAAATATATATATATATATATATAATCAATTGCATCCCTGCCCCTTCTGGCAATAACAGATCGAGTTAAAGACCATGAGTGCAGCTTTTGCTTAATTTAATATATTTTAACAGGCAGGAAAAAAATATGAATAATCCCAAACCCTGGATTTATCGGAAGAAAAGAAATAAAGGGAAAAAAAAGAATAAAAAGATAAAATATAAAATTCCCTATTAAAGTGGTTAGTAAAAACAAACAAAAACCGAACAAATGTACCCAACAGATTACTATTGCTAGTTTATATATATATATGTGTGTGTGTGTGTAGACAGAAATATATATATAAACAAATCGGGGTTGTTTTTTTTAGTTGTGTGTCGTCTCGTTAGCAGAGCGTTCCAGGGGTTAACAGAGAGGACAAGCCGGGAGGAATGAGACAAAGTCAAAGAAAATGAAAGTGGGCACTTTAAACCGGGCTTTTACTAAAAGAACCCAAGAGGTTTAGGAGCTCCTGCTTGGGGTGTGGGAAAGAATTCTGAATCGGCACCATGGTAAAGCAGGTGCTTAACTTTAATGTTTGAAGTCTCCTTGTGTACTAATGATCAGTAATAATAACTAACACTACTATTAATGAAATAACTTTCAGTGGATGCATGAAGAGGGGACGCTCAGGTAGGAGGAGGGAGGTTATTTTACTCTGTATCTGGCACTGCTCTGAGTGCCACTTAACTAGTGTCCAGCTCTGGTGTCCCCACTTCCAGCCAGATGCTGATGAATAGTGGTAAGGCCTGTGAGGATGGTGAAAGGATTCGCAAACCTGCCCTGTAGTGACAGACTCCAGGAGCTCAGTTGGATTAGCAGAGACAGGGAAGGGGTGACTGGGTCAGTCTATAGGGACTGTGATCATGGGCTCTTCAGTCTCGCAGCCAAAGGGCTGGAAGCGAGACCGTCACACTGGAAATCGGCAGGGAGGGTAAATGAACCCCGGGACAGCTTCCCCGGGGGTGTGGTGGATTCTCAGCACTGGCCCTTTCCCAATGGAGTCGGGACGTTCTGCTCTCAATGGAGCAGGAGTTAATCCAGGGAGGGCGGGGACCTGTTCTGCAGCTGGTTGGACTTCGAGGGTCACTGTGGGCCCAGCTGCCCATAGAATATTTAAGATATTTAAGAGTAGGTTAGATAAATGTCTATCAGGGATGGTCTAGACAGTATCTGGTCCTGCCATGCGGGCAGGGGACTGGACTCGATGACCTCTCGAGGTCCCTTCCAGTCCTATAATCTATGAATAAGAATGTGTCATGTAGTGGGTTAGAGCAGTGGGGGCTGGGACTCAGGACTCCTGGGTTCTCTCTCCAGCCACCACACACGTGGCTCCTCGAAGTAGCTGTTTTTGTCACAAAACTTAATATTTTAATAATTTTTAAAAGATCATTTAAAAAAAACAGTGCCCCAGTGAGACACAGACAGCCGAGCCCTGGGGGCCGCCGCAGGCTGGGGCCGCTTGCCTCCTTCAGCTCTGGCCGTGTCGTACCGTCATCGAAGGCAAGGGCGGTGGCTGATGCTGCAGTCCCTGGGGGGAGGGGCGGGGTCCTCTGGGGGGGGGGGTTCATCACTGCTGGCTGGATTGATCTCCACTGCCCGCGCTCAGCCCGGCCCAGCGTCGTACCGCAGGCGGGGCGGGGGACCCAGTCGTACCAAAGGGAAAGGCGCCCCCTGTGGCCAGAGGACGTCGCGTCGGAGCTGAGCGGCTGCCCTGCTGGCATTGCTATTGCTGGCGATGCTGGCAGTGCGCAGGCCTGGGGCTGGTGAGTGCCCAGCAGGTGGGGGCA